TTTTTTGGTTTGGTTCTTTTCCAGTACTGGGAATCGAACTCACGACCTTCCTCTTGCCAGGCAGGCACTGTGCTGCTGAGCTAAATCCCCAGCCCCAGTTTTGTCCTTTTTTGACTGTGCTCTTATCACTCATGCCCTGGAAGAGAGGACAGTTCTGAGACAGTCATTTTTACAATTGCCTGACTAGCCAGCTGTGGTTACAGTATTTTGTGTATACCCCCTCTTGAGGTCTGTTCTTCTTGAAAGGTAGATGTCTTTTTTTTTTTTTTTTTTTTTTTACCGGGAATTGGACTCAGGACCTTGCACTTGCCAGGCAGGCGCTTGTGCCACTGAGCTATATCCCTGGCCCCAAAGATAGGTGTCTGAGGAGAGACCTCTAGTGTGGCTTGTTCTTATTCTTTTGGTTAGGTCATTACCAAGTCACTCTGTAGCAGGCCAAACTTTGGAATTCAAAACGCTTGAAACTTTTATTTTGGTGGTATAGGTATTGAACTCAAGGTCTTGCATATGCTAGGCAAGGACACTACCACTCAACTACATCCCTAGCCTCCTATTTTTTTTTTTTTTTAATTTATTTTGAGGCAAATTCTGGGTTAGTTGCCCAGGATGGCCTTGAACTTGAGATCCTCTTGTCTCAGCCTCCTAAGTAGCAGAGATTACAGGCTTGAGCCACTGTACGCAGCCTCAGTTTATGTTTAATAGGAGAAACAGGCAGTCATAGAATAGAACTTTCTTAGGCCAACTAATGTCCACAACTAATACGACTCCACAGATACTCCAAATGTGCCATCCCCTCATGACTGAGTTTAGTTTATTTCCTGTGCTTGTAACAGCTTGCCTTTTAATCTTAGAACACTTCTGGTGAAAATGGTGAGCCAGGCCGGGACAGGTATTACCTTCAATGCCAGGAGAGGTCGACTCCGGGAGAAACTAACTCTTTTGCATTATGATCCAATTGGTAAGATTCAGAGTTTACTCCACAAAATGTTTATAAATCCTTTCAAGGTCTGTTGCCTCCTTTCCAGACTGAATGTCTCTAGTAGTTTTGTGGCCCTTTTGACACTGTAGCATTCATTCAGCAAATATGTACTTAATGTTTGTTATGGTGCTAGCCACACCAGACCACAACACAGTTCAGTCCCGATGCTCTTGATACTTACAGTCTGGTGGGAGAGAGAATGACATGGTAAGTGCTCTGAGTGACATGATCAGGATGCTGAGATGTGGGAGGAAGTTGGGAGCAGGCCAGGAGACTTGCTTCTTATAGGACAAATAGTGGAAAACTTTATGAGGTGATGTTTAGCAGCCATGTAAAGAGAACAGGCAGTAGCATTGGGGGAACAAAGAAGTTTTGTGGGCTGCCCCCCAACTTTCTGATAGGGTTTCACTGTGCAGTCCAGGCTGGGCTAAACTTGCTGTGTCGCCCAGACTAACCTTGAACTTGTGATCGTCCTTCCTCAGCCTCCAGTGCTAGAATTACAGGTGTGTGTCACCATTCCTTGTTTACAAAGAAATTTTAAGAGAAGAGGAGTGTATGGTCTTAGACTGGCTAGTTATAGGCCTCAGATCTGAGTTAAAGAAATACAATATCCGTGCCTGTAATCCTAGCACTCAGGACGTTGAAGCAGGATTGCCAAGAGTTCGAGATTACATCGTGAGTTTACATAGATCTTGTGAGTTTAAGGCCAGCCTGAACTACATAGCGAGACCCTGTCTCAAAAAACAAAGATATATAATGTCTGTATATTGGTACCTAGTAGTGGGAAATTTGATTTTCCATTTTGTGTCATCCACCAGAATGCCATAACCTTAAATGTTATGGTTAACAGAGAGAAGTACTTGTCTAAAAGAGCTGAGTGTTCCTCCCAAGGCCAGATTGCTCATAAGCCAGTCAGCACCTGATGGCAGTTTTTGGAGCCCATTCTGTTTCTGGGTTGATGTGCAGATTTATGCAAAATAATCCAGCAAACAAACTTTTATTTTAGTACTCTGGATGTTACTTCATTTTTGTGCTGTTACTTCTTAAGGTTAGCCAGGTGTGGTGGCGTGCGCCTGTAATCCTAGCATTCAGGAGGCTGAGGCAGGAGGATCATTGTGAGTTCAAGGCCAGCCTGGGCTGTGTTGCGAGACCCTGTCTCAAAAAAAAGACAAAAGCCCCCCACAAAACAATAAATATGAAAGCTGACTCAATGTGAGCGGACATTTATAAAACGCTTTCAGAAGCCCAGTTGTCAGCTTAAAATTGCTTGAGTTCTGTTCTTCAATAGAAGTAAAATTCTTTGCTATATTTATGGTGTTCTGATCATTCATTATTATAATAAAAGCAAATTCTGGGTTTATACTTGATCAGAAGTCTAATTTAAGGATGATTCTTTATATGTTGGAAAAATTATTACAGTGATAAAGTTTGATACTGGATTGGTATAATGTCATTTTCCCTCTGATTTCTTAATTTAGCTAGTAAAAACTCAAAGTGATGAACTGTATAGTAAAGTAATTGCTTTTCTGTTATTTTAGCTCCTTTACAGTTTATTTTTAGGAATTTGCATAAAACTGTTGATTGAATAACCTGTAATATTTTAAGTATGAAATGTATTAGAATTTTCATTCTTACTGTGGAGGTGGTATTGGGAGCTTATTGGTCAGATTGACTTTTAAGTTTTGAGATTGGGAAAGGATGTAACTTTAAACATTGTTATCGTAAGTTCAAGAGGTGGGAGTAAAAGATTCATATATAAATTTATAATTGAACTTTGTTAATAAGGAATGCTCTTGAGTCTCAACACAACTTTGTCTTTTCTGAAAAAATGAACGTTCTGGTTTCGCAGACTGCCTGGGTTTCTGCCACCTGCAGAATGCCCTGTAGGCTTCTGTGATGAAGACATTTGCTGTGAGGCCTGCCCCTTTGCCCAGGGTACCAAATAGTATGGCAGTTTTCCCAGCATATTTTATTGCAATGAGTAAAGTTAGTTTGAAGATAATGTTTTGTTAGTTTGTTGTGTGAAGAAAATCAGGTAAGGAAACATTTCCAGTTATTTGAGCATTTCATAGTCTACCCTGGGGCAAGAACTGGCTGCATCTGCTATTCAGACTCCCTTTTCTTATATAAAACTGTATGCTAAAAAAACTCTTAAAAAACAATAGAAAGAAACCTAGATGCCAATTTCCAAGGAGGAAGGATTAAGGGCTGAGGCATAAGCTTATTAAACTTTGTTTATCATGAAGAGAATGAAAACTTGTCAGTTTTAATTTCTTGCATGACTGAACAAGACAATATAGACTTCAATTGAAACAGAATAGATTTAGGTTAGCTATAGGGAAAGAACTTGACAGATTCATTTTTCTATGAATTAAGCAGCAAATATTTTGACAGAAAATTAACTTACATTTATGCTTGTGGATAGCACTCAACTAACACATATTGAGTGCTCCCTGTGTATCTGGCAGCAGCTCCGTGAAGGAGATGGGGATCTCTTTCTTACAGGAAGGAAACCGAGGGTAGAGTATTTTGAGAAGTTTGGCCAAGAACTCAAAGCCGACGCATAGGGGAGCCAAAGTTTGAACCCAATCCCTCTGACTCCAAATCCTGCCCTTTCTATTACTCAGAGCCAACTTCATCTTGTAAAACTTCTGTTTTGTTAAATCAGAACCTTTCGTGGTCAGCCTGCCATTCAAGGCCCTGGAGCCTTACTGTCATTCCTGCCTCCTGCCCCTTTCTGTTTTAGTTCGAATGCTGTTCTTGCTTACGGGCCAAGCTTTACCTGTCCTTGAGAGATCTATCACCAGCCCCGAGCCCTTTGGTCTCTAGGTTCTTACGGGCTTTGCGGGACATTCATATGGGCACCTCGTGGCGTACTGACATTAAATCAGGGTGTCTCACAGTGTGTAATCTCCACATTGCTAAGTATAGTTCCATGGAATAAAATATTCATTCTTTGAATTAAAGGAATGGATACAGGAATGTAAGAATTTTCCTGAATAAAGCCTTACTCTACTAGTTTTAATTAGTTACTTCTGGTTAAATAGTCTCTCAGAGCTGCAGCTTGATGATGTGGTGGCACATAACTGTAATCCCAATACTCTAGGAAGCTGAGGCAGGAAGATTGTGAGTTCAAGGCCACCTGAATTACATACAGATTTTCAGACCAGCCTGCACTACATAATGAGACCCTGTCGCCACACACACACACACAAAAAGTTTCCTGATACCTTTTCAGGGTGACAGGTTCCATTTTATTCTTGCTTTCCCCTCTTTTTACAGTATTTTATTTTGAGATCAGGCGTGTTCAGGGTGGTATGGCCGTAGACGCTCGAATATTTTATTTTGAGACAGGGTCTTACTAATTTCCTCTAACTGGGCTCAGACTTGGTGATCTTCTTGCCTTGGCCTCCCAGAGTACTGGGATTACAGGATTGCGCCAGCATGCCTAGGCCGTATTCCCTCCCACCTTGCTCCCTTTTTGGGGTGCTGGGGATTAGACCTTGGGACTTGCACTTACTAGGCAAGCCCTCTACCATTGAGTTACACCTTTAACCCTCTTTTTTTTTTAAAAATGCAGTTTTAAAGTCCCATATATAAAAGCATGGGGGAAATATATCTTATAACTAACAACATTATTTGATGGGAAAGTATCGTGGTTCTTTACTAACATCTTATAATGCTTTGTAGTTTTCCTTGGAGACTTAGGAGGGTCAGTCATACTTGGATGATTTGAAGTATGTGAACACTTTCCTTATGTACAATATATGTATGTGTATTTTTGATTTTAATAGGCAAAATTCTTTTGATTGGTTAATGGTTCTTAAATCTACTTGCCCATCAGACTGTCTGAGCCTTTGTTTTGTTTTGTTTTGTTTTTTGAGACAGAGTCTCACTATATAGTTCAGACTGGCCTTGAACTCACTATGTAGCCCAGGCTGGCCTTGAATTTACAGGGATCCTCCTGCCTCAGCCTCCACAAGTGCTGGGATTACAGGTGTGTACCATTACACCTGGCTGGAGTTTTTAAAAATATAGTCCTCCAGTCTTATGCTACCTTTGATGAACCAAAATTATGATAGGGGTGGAGGTGAGAAGTAGAAATGTATTTTAAACAAGTTCCCTAGCTAATTTCTTTCTTTCCCCCTCTCCTTCTTTCTCTTTCTCTTTCACTCTCTTTCTTTCTTCTCCCCTTCTATCTCTTTCTTTTTTTCTTTCTTTTTTGTGGTGCTAGGGATCCAACCCAGGGCCTTGTGTGCACTACGGAAGTGCTGTTCCACTGAGCTACGTCCTTTTCCCAAATTCCTTATCATAGACACTTTGAGAATCCCAGGTAGAGTATCTTTATATGGCAGGGATAAATGAGTTGTTAGGTCACAGTCTTTTGAGTTTCTAGATTTTCCTAGGCTGCATTTTTGTTTTGTTTATTTATGGCATCAGGTGGAATTAGGTGGGAGGGGAGGGAGTTGGGGCAGTGGGCAGTTAATGGCAGGCCATCGGGCATCCTGGGAACTGTGGAAGCCCTGTTTCATAGCATCTGGCTACCAGTCTTTCATCCAGGCAGACAGCCCTTTCTTTTGGTTTTGTTTTAGGGAACTGCTCTGTAATATTTTGATTATAATACTTTCTTACCAAACTAAAGCGTTCAAATTTGGGTATACTGAATGGCTCTGGGAAGTAGTTTCCATGGTAGCTGCTCTTCCCACCAGGCTGTTATTTTCTTCGTGGTCTGCCCAGTTTTTGCTGCTGCTTTGGAGACTAGCTTCCAGTCTTGCTTTTGCTTACTTGCTGGAAAGTAGATCTCTATCAACTTTGTGGAGACACTGAATGTTTTCCATTTTTTTTTGGTACCGGGAATTGAATTCAAGACCTTGTGCTTGCTAGGTAGGTGCTGTGCCACTGAGCTCTATCCTGGGTCCGTTTTCCATTTTTGCTCCTATTTTTTATGTGAATATTTCAAATCGAATGAAATATGACCTCAAGTAGTACCAAGGGCACCAGTGATTGGCCCTTCCCTCGTTTCTCCTGTCTTCTCTGGGCTCTGAGATTGCGGAGCTGAGTTTGCAAATCAGCTCCATTCTCATGTCAAAGGGATACTAAAAGAAGAAAAAGCAGAGGTATTAGGGTGTGATAAGTATTTTTAATAAAAATGATAAAAATGATGCTTTTGAATTTTTCTCCCTCCACAGTGAAAAAAAAAGTCCTCTTTGTGGAGCAGAAAAAAATACGCTCTCTCTAAACAATGGATTGAAAATGAATTTGATTTATAAATGAGAAGACTGAGGGCGGGATTCTGATTCAGAAACCCCACAGCCTATAATAAAAGAAGAGGAAAGGCACGGCATCAACTGCCTCCTGTGATTTGAAGGCCATTGTGAAAGGGAACAATGTGGTGAAAGAAAGTCCTTTGTATTAGGACATATATCATCGTATCACATTTATTTATCTTTCTGGATATTTTTATAACCCTTAATAAATAGCCTGTACTATTGTCTCTTAGTGATGTCTTCCTTTACTATTTGAAATTTAGAAAATCAACCACATTACTAAAAAATAGCCATTGTTTCATATGATAAAAGACATTTTTCCATAATGAGACCTGAGTAAGGGCTTCTGGGTTGCTCCTCCAAGTACTTCACAGAAAAGGCAGAATAGCACTCCGGGTGATCTTAAAGAAACTCCATGTAATAACAGTGGAATAATGGATGACAGGGGTGAACAGGAAGGATGACGGAGGAAACCAAGACAAGAACTTACGGTTTTGATTTGTGCTTATATAATTAGGAACAATGCCATTGATTCATATTCTAACCCCAAATAACCAAAGCAGTGGCTAGGATTTTTTAAAGACAGCTTTGGATTCATTATCCCCTAGATCTTTCTTCAAAACCAAGAGGAGGCTGGGCATGGTGGCATACACCTGTAATCCCAGCATTTGGGAGGCTAAAGCAGGAGGATCGCTGTGAATTGGAGGCCAGCCTGGACTACATAGTGAGACTCTGTCTCAAAAACAAAAACAAAAAACTAAGCAAAAAACTAAGCAGAGCTATAGTATGTTTCCATAAGCCACTCCGCTTCTAGGCTTCTGGAGCATGGTGGCACCCCACAGCTATTTAGCTTGGAAATTCCACTGATAATCATGATGTTCAGATAAGAACTACAGTACTGCCCTGCCCCAATCCATATAATTTGTCACTTAGGCTATTGTTTCTCACAGATTTTCAAAACTCCAGTTTTCCCCTTTATCTTCCAGGTTTCTTTCTGAAAAGGTCAGCTCAGGAGCACATGGCTTCTTTTCCTTTTAAGTTTTGCTAGTGTACCTTAGTGAAAGTGAGTTTGCTAGTTAGTTACCTCAGTGAAAGTCCTTGTAGGAGAGAATGATGTGTGTGCCCACCCTGGCCACAAGCATTAGGAAATGAGTGCTGTTCCAAAATAGCAGGTGTTCCTCCCCAGGCCCAGTCTAAGCCTTTCGAAGAAATACAAGAGCAGCTCTGCGGAGATGGAATTAGATGTAAACAGTTGCTGAGTCTTAAGTGCTGTGGCATTATAGCTATTTTGTGGCATCTTTTGTTAAAGCTCTGGTTCAAAGCAATAACAGGTGAGATGTTGGCTATTTTTAGGTTGAAATATACACAATGGTCTTTGGTTACAAGAAAAATCTTTTAGAAGATCCTAGCTAAGTCAATGTAAAGGGTCTATGCCACACTCAGATCATTTTAAAAAGCAAAAGCCTAAATACCTGACCTGATGACCTGTCTGTTCAGCCCTTGAGCCAAATGTGGGTGTTCATATCAGTCGGTTGCTGCCATATACAGTGAAATATTTTCATAAATACCCAAACTTCTGGCTTACTGTATCACAGGTTTGACAGCTTAGCTTTAATTTGACAGTCAAGCTCAAGAGTGTCAGATTCCTCTCCCCAAAGGAGATCAATTTTATGTTCCTTTGCTTTCTTGAACATTCTCTGTTCTGGCTTTTGACACTGGTGCTTTCACCCCTGATGTGTGGTGTACACTTAACATTCACAAGCTGTTGGCAACAGAACTTGCTGGCCCTGAAGAGTGCGAATGTTTGCACAGATCTGGATTGTGGAATCTAATTCTAGTTGGCTCTTACGAATGCATGAAAAGCAAAGGACTGTTATTCATAGATGAGAGCTTGAAGATGGTGGAGTGGTAAGGAGCAGAGAAAAAGCCTCACTGAGAGCTGCAGTCCAGGCACTGTAACATAGCAAAGTGAGAGGAAAAAAAAAAAGCAAAGTAAGGAAGACAAGAAGGAGGGAAGTGGGTCCCCTGGACCCAGGAAGGGTCTGAAGGGAGAATTGAAGCCCATGGGGAGAGTGAAAAAACCTTGAAAAGAAGGAGGTAGCTGGTGGAGCCTTCTCTGAATCCAGGACTCACTGTCTGGGAGGAGTGGTTCAAACCTGCAAACACGGTGACTGCTGGCAACACCAGAGTCTTCCACAGGGAGAAGCAGTGGGGGGACTGCACTAGCGGGGTGAGTGCTGAGGGCTCAGTGGTCCTGTGGGAGAGGGCGATTGGGAGCCATCTTGGAGAGCTGCTGCGCTCAGAACTCAGAACAACTTCTGGATCCATTTAGGGGCTCCGAGCTGAGTTCAGGTCCACAGAAGGCGCGCTGTTGGCTGCAGGCTGAACAGATCTGGTCTCAGCCTCATGGCCAGAAACCAGCCTGAACTTCAGAGGAAATACAGGTGCAGGCTCACTGGGATTATGCACTACCCTGCCAGAAAGCTACTGCTGGCCTCTGCCATAAATCAACGTGGATCTGGACTCTGTCTCCACACACGGTCTACCAGTGACAGCAGAGACAAACCTGGAAGTGGGCATTTTTTTTCTCTCTCCTTCTTTTCTTGGTTATTTGTCCTTCATTGGTCTTGTTTTTATGAGTGTGAACATGGTTTGTAGCTTCTCTGTGGTTGCTCTGTTCTAGTCCTTTTATTCTCTTTCCCTCCTGCCTTCTGCACCAGTTTCCCAGAGTTTGCGTGATCCCCCTTGTCCTCCAGCCTTGCTTCTAATCTCTTCCTCTTCTACTTTATTTTTTCCCTAACCTCTTTTAAATTTTCTCCTGAGAGTAACATTGACACATTGAGGACTTACTGCATATAATTTTCTGGTTTGTTTAGATTTTGTCATATAACCACGAATCTAGTTCATACAGTTAAAGGTGACAATTGATAGTTACTACAGTTTGTCATTTTCTAGGCTGTTTGATGCCATCATTATTGCTGATTGTAGCACGTTAGCCAGTGTGACGTAACTGTTCTAAGCAGCTGTTCTTCCTGGTATTCCAAGACTGAGATTGCCTAAGGGTCACAGAAAATACTGTGGGCCAGTACTTCAAGGTGACTTAGTAAATGGACATAATATTTGCAAAGAAAAAAAGATTTTCTAGTAAGTGTTTGCTGGCTGGCCACTCACAAGTACATGTTATTTCCAGGTGTATTTATTTGGGGGTTAGCAGCATTCAAAACAGAGTAAGTGGAAGATCTTTCTTATATGGAAAAGATGACTGTGTTCCTGCAGTCTGGACACTGACTGCTGCGATGAAATTGGATCTCTTGAGCATTTCTTCCAAGGACAGATTTGGGTAGTAAGCCAGGTAGAAGGCCAAGGCTCCCACAAAACTGTCACCAGCACCCTGTAACAGAAAGCACAGTTGTGAAGATAAGCATGTAGTCAATGTTGCCCAAACTGTATTTTAAAAATACTCAAATAAATTTAATAAACAATTTATAGAAAAGATATAAGGAAAGTGCAGAAAGTTTCCACATACCCCTCCTAACATCTTACTGTGGTACATTATAATTAGTAAGATAATATTGATATTATTTTTTTTTGGTACTTGGAATTGAACTCACAACCTTGAGCTTGTGAGGCGGTGCTGTGCCACTGAGCTATATCCCTGGCAATACTGATATATTATTAACTGAACTCCATACTTTATTCAGATTTATTAGTTTTTGCTTAATGTCCTCTTTCTGTTCCAGGATCTCATCCAAGATAACACTTTACATTTAAGTGTTAAGTTGTCCTTAGGCTACAACACTTAGACATCATTTTTGATGCCTTTCATACTTTTGAGGAAGACTGGTCAGGAATTGTGTAGAATGGGCTTTAGTTGGGATTTGTCTGTTTTTCTCAAAGGTTAGAGTGTGGTTGTGGTTTTTCTGCAAGGAAAACCACACGAGTGAAGTGCCATTCTCGTCCTGTCAAGTGTATGTCCTACCACATGACGTCACTGATTTTTTTTTTTTTCCCTCCGGTACCGGAACCGAACTCACGACCTTGCGCTTGCCAGGCAGGCGCTTTTTGCCACTGAGCTAAATCCCCAGCCCGACGTCACTGATGTTAACCTTGGCCACCTGGCTGATGCAGCCTTTGCCAGGTTTGTCCACTGTGAAGCCACCTTGCTCTCTTTGTTCTGTGGTGCTGGGGATTGAACTCAGGGCCTTGTGCATGCTAGGCCAGCATTCTACCACCGAGCTACATCCCCAGCCCTTGTCCCTTTTCATACTGTACTCCTTCGAGGTAAATCACCAAATATATTCTGTTCCTAAAGGGCAAGGAGTTATAACTGAAGTTATGCGGTATCTTCTTGAAAGTGGAGTACTGATACAAATTATTTTTAATTATTCTGTATGTGAGATTTGTCTCTTTTCTCCTATTTATCCAATTGCTTATTTACATCAGTCTAAGCTCAGGGTTATTTATTTGGGCTATTATCCAATACATTACTTATTTTGTTGTTCAGACTGTTCCAGCTTTGGACACTGGGAGCTATTTTCATTTGGCTTCCGTGTCCCTTACACATACATAGCTCAGTCATTCTGTTTTGAATACTCGCTTTCTGGTATATTACAAGATGCCCCAGGCTCATCTTGTATATTCACTGCCTAGCCCTAGAATCAGACAGTTCTCCATTAAAAATGCATGCAGATTGGCAAGAGACATTCAGATGTTAAACTACAGGGGTGTGGCAGGTTTCTTTCCATTTTCCAAGATCCAAGTTGGAGAGGGCCGTCAAGTAAGCAAAGAGAAAACACCGTAAAGTCCATTGCCCTCTGCCTTCAGATAGATACCTCCTCACGTGTTCCTCTGACACATATGCTTAAAACAATTTAAATGTGATTATACAGATGAGATCGGGCGCATTCAGGGTGGAATGGCCGTAGACTTAAATGTGATTATACAGTCTCACCTGAAAATATTCCGGCATTCAACAACTGTCAGGGGCATTTGTAGTTGTTCACTGTTGCTGGTTCCTTAGACCCAAGACCTGTGTAACAAATCCTGAGGCTGTTCCTCAGCTTTATAAAGAGCCTTGGCCTTTGGACTGTGTCAGGTATAGCTGAAGGACTCAGTAAACTGTGTGCCCAGCACAGTGATGGGCAGTGTGAAAGAAACAAAATCCACTGTGGATCAAGTGCTGAATCGTGTGGCAGTTCTTAAATGCTGTTGGATACCAAGAAAGCTTGGTATAGTCTGGGCCAGATTTCTAGAGAGAAGGCAGGCCTCAGAGAACAAAGATACCGGAGGGTGAAGGATCAGAACAGAAAGCCAGGTATGGCACACACCGGTAAACCCAGCACTCTGGAGGCTGAGGCAAGAGGACTGCAAGTTCAAGGTCAGCCTGGGCAATTTAGTAAATCTCAAAATAGGAAATACAAAGGGCTAGGGATGTAGCTCATTGGTAGTGTGCCCCAGGTGAAATCTCCATTGCAAAGGGGGGAAATAAGTTATGGCAAACTCTAATATTCCAAGTCGTCAGTCTTCCTTTTATACACAAAATTAAATGACAAGCAGATCTGCTGGGTATGGTGGTCCACGCCCTGACCCAGTACTCTGGAAAGCTGAGGTAGGAGGATCACAAGTTTGAGCCTTGTCTGGGAAATTTAGAGACTTACTGGGACCCTGTCTCAAAAAAAGAGCTGGGGATACAGGTGACTGTAAAGGCCCTGAGTTCCAGTACCCTCCCTGCCAAATCCAGGCAGTTCAAAGGCTTAGATTTAAAAATAAAATAGCAAAATAGTAAGATGAAAATGTAGGTGAGTATCTGCGTAACTTCAGACTGAGAGACCACAAGCAAGCCAGTAAATCCAAAAGCAATAATGAAAAAGGAACACTTCTGTATTTTATAAAGAAAATTATAACCTCAAAGACAATGCGTAAAGCCAAATAAAAAGTTCAGATTTGGTGAGAATTCTTCCAATATTTGTGGCATCCCTAATACTCAACAACTAATTGGTAAAAACATGTCACATCCCAGATAAAAATGGATAAAGACCTGCAATTTTAGAACAGGAATCCTAAGTAAATACATGAACATTTGTTCAATCACTAGGAAATGTATGTGCCTGAGCTTATTGTACCTTTTACACACACACACACACACACTCATTGGTACTGCACATATTAATTTTACAGAGCATTGGGTTCCGTTGTAGTGTGTGTCCTGTGACTGAGCAACGCTGCCCTCAAGACTCACACAGAATCAGAAGCTCCTGTACCTGAGGAATCTATACACAGAGATGCTGACTGCAGCACTGTCTCCAAAGGCAAGCCACTGACTACCAAGTAGGAGAATGGCTGAATAAAAGTTGATACATTTTTTTAAAGAGAAAAAAACAATAAAAATGATACAGAATTTCAAAACAAAATAATAGAAAATTGATGGTTAATGCGTATTGATAGCTTCAAAGTAGTTACTCAGATTACAAAATACAGGCACACAAAATTGATCAAACAATATAAGCACAAACTGTTCTTTTCCATGAACTAAAGAAATTAGTAGTATAATTATCTTAGCTATCTTTTGTGTATATATATATATTTATTTTTCTTTTTCACTTCCTTCTTTTCTTCTTTTCCCATCCCAGTTGTTCTTTCCTTTTGAGCAGTTTCTTTCCCTTTCACAATATCTATTGTAGATTTTGGATCTTATTTACTCTTTCAGGTTCATTTATAGGGAGACAATAGGATGTTTACACATGCAAGTCTGATTTATTTCACTTACGTTAATAAATTCTTACTATGGAAAAGTATGCCGTTTATGCAGCTATTAGTAAAGTGTTAGCAATATGTATACATACCTAGAGAAATGTTTGTAGTTAAGCTAGAAAAGGAAATTTTAGTATAATCTTATTGGGAGAAGAAATGAGAGAAGGAAAAAAATTTGAAGAACACAGAGAAGGAAAAGGATGGATATGTATCAAGTTTTTACATTTGTTTTTCTTATTTGCAATGTTTGAAGGCAATATTCTTTTTTTCCTTTATGTACTTTTATATTGATTTGCTATAAGCTTCTATTTTTCAAAAAAATTAAGATAATAAAAATATATAATGACTAGGTAAGCCACACCTCTGTGACTCCTTCATTTTGATCTTGCAACCTGACCAGAACAGGGCCAGGGCCGAGGGGAAACATTCTTGCACCATGGGCAGGAATTAGTTTTACACCCTCCTGTTAGCTAATAGGGTATTTGTTTTTGGTGTTTTGAGACAGACTCTCACTATGTAGTTCAGGCTAGTCATGAACTTACTATGGATCCCAGGCTGGCCTTGAACTCCCAGCGATCCTTTTACCTCAGCCTCCCAAGCGCTGGGAATACAGGCGTGTGCCACCATACCCGGCTGCTAACTGGGTGTTTAGGTGGCTGCAGACAAGACTTTGAAATATTGTACCACACCGTAAGTTCTCATCCGTGGAAATCAGTTAAGCCAACCTTGTAAGAGAATGGAATGAGCAGTGGTCACTAGACACTAAGAAGGGCAAGTGGAGGGGGAATGGAGAGAAGTTCAATAAAGGGTGCCAAAACAGTGGAAGAATTACTTTTGGTTCTTCGTTAGCACAGTAGGGTAACTACTGGTTGAGACAATCTATGACATAGCTCAAAATGACTAGAAGAATATGAAATTCCCAATGTGTAACAGTGATTACAGTTGAGGTGGAAATGTCTATTACCTTGATTTGATTGTATACATTGTATTCATGTATTGAATTGCTGTAATGTACACCATAGAGATGTACTAACATTTTGTCTCAATTTTAAAAATTGCAAGAAAAAGTGAAGGAAATATTGTACTGGTATGTGAGAACATTGAATTGTAACCACTTAAGTTGCTTTTCACCATTGCCAAAGCCAGTGAAGCACAGTTTGGCAGAAGTGTGTATGCTGAAGGCATTATTTAGGCATCAAAATTTTTCACAACTTGATTTCTTTTCATTCACAGTGCTATTTACTGCAAAACTCGGACTGCAAAATTAAGTTCTTCTTGTATTAAAATGGGAGGGAGGGTTCCATTTAGAATGGCTATCATCAAAAGGTAACAAATGCTGGTTAGGATTTGGAGAAATGGGAATTCTCAGATGCTGTTGATGGGAATGTAAATTAGTATGGTCTTTATAGAAGACTGTATAGAGATTCCTCAAAAAACTAAAGAAACCCTATAATCCAGCAATTCTCCTACTGCATATACACCCAAAGGAGATGAAATCTTTATATCAAAAAGACACTTGTACCCTTATGTTTATTGTAGCACTAATCACAACAGCCCAAACATGGAGCCAACCCAGACACCTTTTAATGGATGAAGGGAGAAAGAAAATGTGGCATTTTTATATAATAGAATACTACGCAG